CAGTAGGGCTGGCATCTGGAGGCTGCCCCCCCCCAGCATTCCCAGAGTGCCAGGTTGTAGAAAGAAAGAGACATTTGGCATTTAAGGGCTTGAATCCTGCACCGAGGGGTCCAAAGCATTGGGTAGGTGTTGCTGCGTTTTAATTGCTTCTTTGTGAATCCATTTTGTGTTTTACTTTTTAGGGGTTTTGTAATTGCAGATTGCCTCTGAAGCACCGGGACGATCTCTCCCACCTTGCCAAGGGAGAGCCTAGCTGGTTTTAGAAAGTGGCAGACGTGCCATTCGAAGCTTGTTTCAAAAGACGAGGGTGAAATTCTCAGGGTGCCAAAATAGGCCTTTTTATCAACGCCTTTTACATGGCTGGCGTCTTTCCCAGCTGAGTCCCGGGGTGACAGACTGGGAGAAGGACTGGGGCGGGTGGGGGTGCGGCAGGGGGTGCCCCGGCCTGCAGTTCCTCCTCCTCGTTTGCGTCTTCCCCAAATCTTTCCCCCCTTCTTAGCAAGACCCCGTTTTCCCACCTCTCTTTCAGAGGCAGCCTTTCAAACACCTAATTTATTCAATCTATTAGATAGATTTTGTAGATTTAATCATTTTCACAGTTGGTGGCTCATTGGATACTCAAGATAAACTCCAAATGAAAGTATAATGGAAACAACAAATGAGTTTTCACAGCTCAGGAAAGGAGTTTGAGAGAAGCAAAATACGGATAATCTCTCTCTCTCTCCCTCCGTTCTCCTTGGAGCTGCCTTCTGCTGACTACAGTCGGTTATCACAGTTAATTTCACCAGTTTTGTTCATCTGTAAAATTGCATAAAAGTGACATTTTTGTGCTCATTATAAGAAGTGCTGATTTATAGCTGGTAAATGGATTTTTCCCTATTTTTTTTCCGACGGAGCTCTCATAGTGCCACAAAGCATCCATGAAATTGCTTGTATAATACGGTTTAAATCCAATCTCTCAGAGCGATGCTTCCTCCCACCACCTTTGCTGGGGAGACATCTCCCCGGCCCCATACAGAATGATTGGCGCCCCTCCCATAAACAACCTTGGAAGTCCAAAGAGGGTGATTGGGGGATCTTTAAAACGGTGGAATCTGTTTGGAAGGATAAGGACAAATTGGCTTCCTTTGAAAACAAACCCCTGAAATGATTAAACAAATTGAAGGGAAGAACAGAGGCTATCGATTGTCTTGAGTGACTCGGGTGGCCCATGGAGCCTCCACAACCAGGGGCACAATACCGGAGAATAAGCCGGGGCCGTCGAGTCCTGAGGGCTGGATTTCTGCATAGGTTTGTTTGATGGAGCTGGTGGAGGGGCAAACACCTCTTTGTGTTTTTAGCTGAGCCAGAACCAAGGGATTAAGTCTGGAGATTTCTCTTCTTTCCCCCAGGATTGGGGAAGAGAGGGTATCTAAGCTAAATGGGCTGATTTCAGCCCGTTTTGCTGAGGATGCTCCGTCCCAGGGTTATCCAGTGAGGACAGACCGGGCGGGCGTTACGCCTGGTGTTAATTGTGCAGATGGCGCTCTAGTGACCTCCAGAGGTGGCTGCAAGCATTACACCATGTCACAACATGGCTTACACCTCCAGACAAGGGATGCTTTGACCGTGGATGTCTTCCTACATCATTCTTACTCTGCTGACTGAACTAAATAAAACAAGCAGGTTGTGCCCATGCAGCCCACTAAATCTTGGGCCCATCTGTTAAGCCTGTTGTCTGAACACCACTGGAGCATTTAAACTTTTGCTCCCTGGTTCAAATAAGATCCCCCCAAGTGAAGCAAAGTTGGTTGTGTTGCAAATTCTTGCCTTACTGGGTTGGCTTAGGTCCTGAAATGCGTTTGGCTGATCTGCAGGACCAGCTGGACTTAAGATCAGCGGTGCAGTGTTCTGGAGAAGTGGACGGGCACTGCCGGCAGCAGTGAGATCTGGGCAGATGTCCTGGAGAAGCGGGGCAAACGTTTAAGGCTCCCCCCAACTCCACCACTGGATTTCACCGCACTAATCTGTACCCCATATGCACCTGACACACTTGCACTTTTAAAAAATCCGCACCTCCGATTCCGGAAGAACGGAGGGTGCCCGCTCGAATGTCGCGGCTCATCTGCTGAGAAATCTTGGCGTAACTCCTGCCTTCCTCGTCTCTCCTAGGTGAAACCATGGCTCCCATTCGTTCCCCACGATACCCCAGCCCGGCTGAGCTCGACGCTTACGCACAGAAAGTGGCAAACAACCCTCTCACCATCAAGATCTTCCCCACCAACATCAGGGTCCCCCAGCACAAGCACCTTAACCGGACGGTGAACGGGTACGACACGATGGGCCAGCGCTACAGCCCCTACCCTCTGCACGCCAGCAGCTACCAGGGTCTCCTGGCCATCGTGAAGGCATCCGCTGGCAAAGGGGCCGTGAAGAACGCCGAGGGCAAGCGGACCAAGATGTCCCCTGCCCACGTGGCTGTAGCCCCCTACTCGGTGACAAGCACTTTAGCGCCCGGCCCGTCCTGCGCGGCCCAGCTGAGCTACCCCGGCAGCCAGAAGCAGATGGAGGCGCCGGTCCCTCCCAACGTCACGGTGGCCACCTCGGTCGTCCCACACGCCGGCAGGGGCTTGGCACTGCCCCAGGCCAACCTGCCCTCCATCCAGAACATTATTTTCCAGATCAATCAGCACTGCCAGGCCCAGGCCAGCCAGCAGGTGTGCCAGGGGGTGGTGGTGGCCAACCCCAGCCCGGCCAAGCACGGCACCACCGGCAGCTTCACCACCATGGCCACGGTGGGGGCGGCGGTGGCCTACGCTGGTGCCGTGCTGCCGGACCGCCGAAAGGGTGCTGAGCTGGTGGCTGGCTCCAACCCAGGCAGTGGCCTCGTGGGGCCCAAGCCAGGCCTTTACCCGGACAGCGTGGATTATCTGCTGTGGCAGCAGAAGCAGCAGCAGCCGCTGCGGATGTACAGCGCAGGCAGCGGGGGGGCCGTCAGCAAGTCGCCCGAGGTGTGCCCCGGGGTCTTGCGCGCCTACCCCGTGACGGGCGCCACGGACAAGGTGAGCTCCTCGCCGTTGAACTGCGTGGGCGTGCATGGGAACTTCTCGGTGGGGCAGTACTTTGCCCCGCCTTGGAACAGCGTCTTGGTCACTCCCAACAGTAGCGACTGCTACAACGCCCAGGATCTGGCCAACGGGCATCGGGACCTGGGCCTGCACCCCTCGGAGGGGCTTCCCAGTTTGCCCAGCAAGGCGGTTTGCAACACCTCCATCCTCAGCAGCAGCCTCCAGTCGTTGGAGTACCTGATCAACGACATTCATCCGCCGTGCATCAAGGAGCAGATGCTGGGCAAGGGCTACGAGACGGTCTCCGTGCCCCGGCTCCTGGACCACCAGCATGCTCACATCCGCCTGCCTGTCTACAGATAAGGGGCAGAGGTGCCCCCGGGGCCAGGCTGCCCCGAGGCGGAGGCGAATCATTTTGTCTGCGTAGTTCAGGAATGGGTTTCATTGCTAAGAATGTGAACAGGGAGACGCGATCCAGTTTTGCTGCTAATCGGGGAAGAGGTGCCCCGGGGGACGAGAACGGGTGTGTGCCTGCGTGTCGGCGTTGCCAGCCAGACTGCCTGGGAAGGGGGCCCATTCCTTTTCCAGAAACACGTTTCTGTCCTGGGCTGCGCTTGGGGGCGTTTGAAATGCATTGTGACTGGGGGAGGGCAAGGAAGGGAGCGGACCCCCGCTCAGACCCCTCCCGTCCATCCAGGTGGCTTCGTGATCCTGCCTCCTTTCTAGATGAAGTCTGTAACTTGCACTGTTTCGATTTAAAGCTAGTAATTGGGGGTGGGGGGCAAAGGTGTGGAGGCTGTTTAAAGAAGGAAAAAAACCACTTGAAAACTTGAAGTGACTTTTTTTAGTTTGAACCTGCTGTACAGTTTTTGGCTGCTATAGGACGGATTTTCCCACCCCTCCATCACATCAGCATAACCCCAGGAGATTTCTTTTCTGAATTAAAACATCATCATCATCATCATCATCATCATCATCTGGTTTTTTAATAGCAGTATTTCATTTTATTACTTGTCTGCGTGGGAGAAACAGGGAGGAAGACCAGAGGGTTGGGGGACGTTTGCAGAAGAGAGATGCAGTGCTGAAAAGTTGGGAGGGTCCTTTGCCCCTTTATTTTAATCCTTGCTTTGGATCCACCTCTGTAGGGAGCCACATCTGGCTGCAGAAACCTGAGTTAAGAAGGCCGGGGAGAAAACCAAGCCCTTCTTGGTTCCCGCAAAGCTTGAAAACAAGGCACTCCCTTGGGCTCCCCCATCCCCAGATCATCTCTGGCTGCGTCTTTGCAGTCGGAGGAACGTGGATGCGCGAGGGCTGCCCGAGAGCCAGAAACGATGGGGAAGGCAAGCTGTGTTTGCCGAGTTGCCGCTCCAGCCGCTGGGGACGGGTCATCCCCTCGCCCCTCTCCCCTCCTGTCCAGACCAAGCTGTAGCAACGTTGTGGATAATCCGAGTGTAGTCTGGTTTGCAGCCGTCGGCTCTTCTCTAGGCGGCTGCGAGAGACGGGAGCGTCGAATCCCCCACAACACAGTGTATCTTAGAGGGGTCTTCCCCCTCCTTCCAGGATATTAGTATTTTACATACTTCAGTTTCCTCCTGTAAGAGAGAAAGAAATGCAGCTTCTAAAAAGTATTCCTTTTGCTCTGCAGGACCCCTGACGGAATTAGGAGTTTAATAGGTTTTATGCAAGATGATCTGCTTTGCAGGTATTTCAGATTTTCACGAAGGAAGGGAGGAAGGAAGGGAGGGGCTCAAAATATAGAGGTACTGTGTCCTTCACCACCTATTCCAGCACTAAGTGCATTTACAAATACCTGAGAATGTGTTTTTATATGAAAAAGCAACCATTATATTCTACTGTGAGAAGTGCGCTCTGCACTATATTGTTTTAAAAATGAGAGAAAACAAAAAAGCTCGGAAAAAAACAGAGAACCATGTCTCTGGATGTCTGTCTGTCTTTTTTCTCTCCCCCCCAAAAAAAAGACATTAAATCTGGGCTTTCACTGGATCTTTGTTCCGGATCATCCTTGCGTGCTGCCTCTCGCCCCGTGGATGTCCTTGAGCTGTGCTCGGAGGAGGGTCCAGAGCACGGGGCTGGGGGTTCCCCTGGCCGGGAGCCTTCCCACCCACCTTTCCTGATGCACGAGACTGTACTCAGAGAGCTGGGAGTCCCACATCCAGAGGGCTCCGGAACGTGAACCAAGAAGGGTCTTCCTGTAACCAGCCACGTGGAATGGGGGGAGCTGGTGCTTGTTGCAAATTAAAACGCTTTGAAGACGTTTGGGGGTAACTTGGTCTGAATGTGGCCCTGAGCTAGAAAACACCGGGTACAGGTAGGTCTTCTGCTCCTGTGCTGGCCTGAGTTATGGGTAGGTTCCTCCCCCCTGCCCTCCCCAGGCAGGGACTCAGAGATTGGGAATGTTAAAAGGATTTCTGGACGTCTTGGCAGCTGGGAAGAGCAGTGGGTTTTGCAGGTGGAAAGCCCCTGAACGGGTTTGCCCTCAGGTGAGAGTCGGGGGGGCTCTGAGCCGCCGCCGCTGCGGCTCCAAACTCTTGGCCGCTAAAGGCAAAGCGAACCTCTGTCTTCAATATATTTTCTCTCCAAAGTCCGTCAATCCTGCGTGGCGAAAGTGTGGGGTGGTTCGTTGTGGGCGAAGAGCAGACCTCTCGGGTGCGAGGCCTTCCCTCAGCCGGCCCGGTTCCCCTTCAGCTCCCAGATGGCTGAGCCGGGGGGCCTCCTCTCCACTCAACAGTGGCCCCGCCAGCTGTTGGCCAGGGGTGGCACGTGCCTCCTGCGTTGGGGATGGGGCAGTCCGTCCCAAATGGCTTTCTGGCCATGGCGCCTCGGTTGGTTTGTCTTCCTCCATCACAGAGATGAAGCGACATATGGTGCGGGGGGGGGGGGGCTTTGGCTTCGCTGAGGCAGGCTCTGTCTCTGAAAGCAGCTGAGCATTTCAAAGCTGGGGGAGCCTCCCCCCAGCCTGGTAAGACATCTCCCAGTCAGGTTGAAAAGCCGTGTCTTTTGCCAGCAACCTTGGGGGCTTTAAAGGCTCAAAATGGACTCCCCCAAACTAGGCAGGCTGAAACTGGAAAGGCTTTGCCTAAAATTGCAGGCCGCCCCTCCCCCCTGCAATGGCAGTGGTGACTTTCCGTTCCTTTGGGGGCTCTTCCCTCGGAGGAGAACAAACACGCTGTTGGGTGACCAAATGTCCAGGTGGGGTCTCCTCGTTCTGCGGGGCTTAGAAGAGGGGCAATGCCTGTAGGATCCTTGCACACATCACAATCACTCTTCAAATTTCAGGTGTGTTGGAGGATGTTGGGGGGGCAGAAAGCCAGGAACTCAGGCTGGGGGTCCCTCTGGTGACAGAAGACCTTTCAGGCGATCTCAGCGGCCGTGCCCCCACAGGAGGAGGGGGAAAGAGGTGGCCTGCGAGGCTCCTGGGCCAGATCAGAGCCCATCTGCCATTCCCAACGGATCTGCAGAAAAGACCAAGGTTGAGTCGGGAGCATTGTCTGAATGCACTGCGAGGTCTTCTGTGGACCTGAGGGAGTGGCACGTCTGAGCCCAGCAACCAGGAAGCTGTGGCAGGCCCATGCTTAATGTGGGTGACTGTATACCAGCTCATTATGAGAGGCTCCTCTTCGTAAACTGGTGCTGCTGGAAATTTTATATTTATTTTGAAAATAGTGCATTTTTCAGCACTTGAATGGAGTCAGAGTCACCTGGCAGACTCCCCCAAAAGAAAAGTCCTTGGCCAGACCAGCATGCCCTTTTGCACTGTTTCCAACTCTGGGGTCTTGCCTCCATGGCTGCAGAGAGGCACAATGGGAGGGCAGGCCTGTCGGTGGGGTTCCAGTTCCATTCGGGTCCCCTGTGCCCGGGCCAGGAACCAGGAGGGGCCTGGCAGAAAGACCCGTTTCACAGAAGTCAGATGCTGTTTTGAGAAAGGCAGTAGGGAAGGGGTGTGTGTGAAACTGCCCAGGAGATCTCGCAGCCTCCAGGCAGGTTCAAATTAAATTGTCCGTAGGAAAATGAATTTGCTTGCATCTTGGTTAATCAAAAACTACCGTTGGAGGAGGGGAGACGATAAATATGAAGGTGCTACTTGTGCTGGGGGGGGGATCAGGCACGCGCCACTTTTTGATTACAAGCCTAAGTCAAACTAGTTGCTTCCAACCGGGCGCCAGGGACGATCCCCTGGGATGGGAACGAGGCGTGCGAGGCCCTGCCAGATGCGGCAAGAGGGGTGAAGCCGTTTCATCGGGGCAACGGGAAAGCGAAGGGCTGTGCTTAAATAAAAGCAATTCTTCTGCCCTGCATGGGGCCTTTTAAACCGCCCCCGCGACCAAACGCCCTATGCCCGAGCGCCTCAACGCTCGCCTTCGCTTCCCCTCCGGCTGATTTGCGGCGACGGAAAAGGGGGCGCTTTGCTCCTCTGCCCCCCCCCAGCTCTGCAGCCTTTGAAAAGGACCCAGCGAGGACTTTCCTGGGGGGCCCGAGGTGGGGTCTGCCTGTCTGCGGAGCACGACCGTCGCTCGGGCCCCTTTCAAGCGCGGTCATCGGGCAAATCATGTCCGGGGATGCGCGCTTGATGCGGGATTAAATTCTGGGGACCGACGCGGCATCCGCAGCAAAACCCGCGAGGCGGGGAGGAGTGGTGGGGGGGCGTACACCTCGGGGCTCCCTCGCTCTCCCCAGGAAGCGCCGCCCGCTACCCGGGCGCTTGGCTTCTGCTGCAGGCGGTCCTCGGCGGGCCCC